GCCCCTTCACCATGTGAGGACATGGCAAGATGATGCTAGCTCCAAACCAGGAAAAGGGACCTAACTAAAATGTAATCATGCTGGTACCTTGATCTTGGTTTTTCCACCTCCAGAGCTGTGAGAAATGAATTTCTGTTGTTTATAAGCCCCCTGATCTGTGGTGGTTTGTTACAGCGGCCTGAATGGACTAAAATACTAAGTAGTGTATTGACTCCACCCTACAAAACAGAAAGAGTGTGTGTGCTCACTGGGGACAGCACACTGGCAAGACGGAGGGGGTCATCTGTCATCTGCCCCTGGTTTAAGGTCAACCTTGGCAGCAGGCTCCTGCTCAAACCCAGTTCCTACCTTTATCCTGGGAGATGCCTATTCCAGAGGGCACCCTCATTTCTAGCAACCTTCCCTTCCACCCACTTCTCACACCCTCTTCCATGGCTGCCTCTTGGACATTTCCATCATATGCAACTGCTCCACCTCAAAATAGCTTCGGACACAACCTCCTACCTCTCCAGCCTGCTGGTGTGGTCGTACCCACTCTGACCTTGTTGGATCTCAGCAGACCTTATTCCCTTGGGCCTCTCCAGTGGTCATTTCCTAGCTTGGAGCCCACACTCCAACATTGCACGCACCCTCTTGCTAATACAATGTGTTCGACCTCAACCCACAGTAACAAATATAATTTACATACGACCTAGGGCCCGTTTGCATATGTATTTACACACACACATGCATACATAGGTCTCTCCTAGCTTTAACTCAATCACAGTTATTTAAAAATCTGACCCTGGACATCAGTTCTTATAACGTCAGCCCTGTGTCTCTCCTCATTTTTACCAAGTTGTTGCAAGAGTCATCTGAATAAACTGTGTTGTTTCCTATGGCTGCTATAACAGATCATCACACGCTTGGTGGCTTAAAACAGCACAGATTTATTTTCTTACAGCTCTGGAGATCAGAGGTCTAAAATCAAGATGTCAACTGTACTGCATTCTTTCGGGGTCTTCAGGGCATAATCTGTTTCCTCGACTTTTCCAGTTTCTAAAAACACCTGCAACCTTTGTCTCATGGCTGCATCACTCCAACCTCTGGTTCCACTGCCACGTCTTTCATCAACTTTGACCTTCTTATGAGGACCTTGGTGATTATATGGAGCCTTTCAGATCCTCCAGGATCATCTCCCACCTCCAGATTTCTAACTTAATCACAACCTTCGAACCCCTTTTACAACGTAAAGGAACATGTTCCCAGGCTCTGGGGATGGGGACCTGGGGACATCAGTGGGGTGGGGGGGGCTGCTATTCTGTGTACCACAAGAACCATCTGGGATTTCCTCAATTTCCACTCACTTTTCATCCTTTTCCAAACTGGCTAGTGTCCCCACTCACCATCTCAAATGCCGCTCGAAAAGGTCCTTGACGTCCTCTGTGTTGCTGAAAACCATGGGTAGTTCTAATTTGTCCTTCTTCCTGACCTCTTAGCAGCTTCTGACATGGTGGGCCGATCAGAATGAGGTGTGGGAAGCACCTGTGGAGGACCCTGAGGTGTGAGGGCTGGTGGCCCATCCTCATGAGCATCTTCTGCCGTCACTCTAGAGTAGCATCTAGTGGGGATGTGGCTGGCTGTAGAACATGGCATCCCGCAACCGCCCTTGACCTATCAATCCTCCATAGACTCCATGGTGTCTAGACTTTCTTCATTGGTTGAAAGCATTGGTCAGATAACTGGAGGTAAAGATTTTTTTTTAAAGAAACAGTTTTATTTACTCACCAAAAAGTGCACCTATCACAAATGTGTAGCTGGGAGAATTTTATAAAATAAAACATGTATCCACCCCTCAGATCAAGAAAAGAGCTTTGCCAGCTCACTCTCATGTCCCCTCCCTGTCAAGAACCCCTCTCCTCCCAAAGGTAACACTATTCTGGGGAAGCCTGGGTGGTTTTAATTTTTTTTCTTTTAAATAGACTTTCATTTGTAGAACAGTTTTAAGTGCATGACAAAATTGAGTGGGAGATACAGAGAATTCCCAAATACCCGTAGTCCCTATGCAGGCACAGCCTCCCCCTTCATCAACATTCCCCATAAGAGTGGTAGATGTGTTACAACTGATGAACCTACATTGACACATCATAATATGGACCAAAGTCCATAATTTACTCTGGGTTCACTCTTGGTGTTATGTGTTCTGTAGGTTTTGACAATGTGTCATGACTTATGTTCATCACTAGAGTATCATGCAGAGTAGTTTTATTGCTTTGAAATCCTCTGTGCTCCCCCTGCTCATCCTCCCCTTCCCCCAAACCTCCGACAACCACTGTTCTTTTTTTTACCATCGCCATAATTTTGCCTTTTCCAGGATGCCATGTCATTGGACTCATAGAGTCTGTAGCCTTTTCAGATTGGCTTCTTTCACTTAATACTATGCATTGACATTTCCTTCATGTCTTTTTGCAGCTTCATAACTCATTTCATTTTAGTGCTGAATAATATTCCATTGTCTGGACACAGGCATAGGTTTTTGAAGAAGGAATTGGACTGACTCCAGAGCAGATTTTACTGCTGGAGTATCTTCTTTGTACCTCATGGTGTTAGAACTGACATACTGGCAGAAGGGCCCAGAAGGCCTCCAGAGGCCATTCTCTGCATTGAGCTTCTGCCTCCAGAATACCGCTCTCCGAAAACAAGTATGGCATGCAGCGGGGCTCAGGCCACTGCAAATGCACTCATGTCATGTTTTGATGCAAATGGCCCCACAGAGATCAAGTTCTGTTCACTGGGGACAGACTACATGACAAATAGAAGAAAGGTAATGGCTTTTCCATTCATGTACCAGTTTGTGGAGAAGGTTCTGCTAATCTTCTCCATTAATCTGGGACCCAGGCCCCTTCCGTTTTTCTGCCTCCAACACCCCCACAGCCTTCTCATTTCCTTCATCTAGCTAGAGTCACACATGGCCTGTTGGACAAGCCATTAAGCTGAAGTCGTGCTCCCAGGAATAATTTAACATTTTAGTCAGCTGGTCATCTGGCGTGGTCCTGGTGAATGATGTGGTGATGGGTGGACAAAAAAGTTTTAATGATGAATTTGAGGAGGTGCAGGGGTAGGGGTACCAGCCTCGGGAGCTTCGGGGTGGGTGCTGGCCTGGGGAAGCATCGGGTTGACTCTGAGTTCCCTGGTGTGGCTCCTAAGGGGGAGCTGAGATCCCACAAAGGAGGCTGGAATTTTCACAACTCATGGCTTTATCAGGGTCCACCCGTGTGTCCTGCAGGAAGATGCTGACCTGCCATTGGACCACCGAGGGGTCTCTGCCCGGCCTCTCTTGGTGGCTGGTGGGGAGCACAGTGAGAGTGAGGACATTGTTCCAATAAGCAGGACCCTGGCTCATAGCCCCAGTGCCGGATGTCAGTTTTGCTGCTCTCACAAAGTGTTCTCTTCCACTTCTCCAAGGGAAGCCAACTCAGGGTAGGAGTCCTTGGCTTTCTTCTTTCAAGGGTGGGAAGGAAAAGGGAGTTGTAGTGAGAGACCTCAGGTCTGGGTTACATGTGAAGGTGGGCGTTCCCACTCTTCACCTTCAGGTTGGCAAGTGTGACAAACCTATAGCAGATGTCATGGTCCCTTTCACTGTGACTTTCAAGGAAGGCCAGGGAGCTGCAGTGGGTGCCTTTTGCAGAGAATCATGGTCAGAGAGGATTTTGAAACCTCAGCAGGGATAACTTCAGCCCGGGCCATCTGTGTGGGAATAGGGGAGTTCTGAAACTGCCTTCCTCCGCACCCCCTCCGCCCCCTCAGAGGCTAAGGGCTGCCAAACCCGGCTCCCACACACTTCACCAGAAAGTCCCTGGCTTCCCTCCCAGCTGCCTTGCAACTGACCTCATGAGGTGTGAGGAGGAAAGGAATCTACATTTCAGATGAACCTTCCTTCCTCCTTTCTGAGAAGCGGTCCAGGCCGCCCACACCTGCCAGGCCATGCAGACGGCTCCTCAGAGCCCAAGGCCCTGTGGTTTGTCCAGCCTGCTTGAGAAGTAGCCAGGGACAGGGAGCCTGTATGAGTTTGTCGGGGCCGCTGTAACAAAGGACCACAGGCTGGGGTGGCTGAAAACAGCCGAAATCCATTCCCTCTGGGCTCTGGAGGCCAGGAGCCTGAGGTCGAGGTGTGGCAGGTCTGGGCTGCCTCTGGAAGGTTCTATGGTAGAGTCTTTCCTTGTTTCTTCCAGTTCATGGTGGCTGCAAGCAGTCCTTGGGTTCCTTGGCTTTTAGATGTTATCGCTCCAGCCTTTACATGGCTGTCTTCCCTCTGTCTCTTCTCTTCTTATAAGGACATTGTCACACCTGTCAAGGACCAGCCTACTCCAGTATGGCTTCATCTTAACTAATTACAACTGCAAGGACCCTATTTCCAAATAAGGGGGCATCTGAAGTTCCTGGTGAACATGAACTTGTGGTGGGACACCGGTCAGCCTGTGACAGGGCCCCACCATCCACCCCTTCCCTCCCTTCAGAGCAGACCCTTACCCCATGCAAGATGCCCTGCCTTTTCTTTCCAGTGCCCAGAAGTAGTGACCCCAAAATAAAATGGCATCCCCTCCCTCCAGGAAGGCCCGGCCTAGCTAGTGGGAGATCAGAGAACCCAAATCTCTTCAGGGACAGGCATCTACATGTCCAAGGGACACCCACTTGGAATTTTTTTCCAGCTTTATAGAGATGCTTCAGGATTTCTTGGCTCCTGGCCAATCCCAAAGGGAAAGAGCCCTCTGAGCCTTCCAACGGGCCATTCCAGACCAAGGTTTACAACCCAGATGGGAAAACTGGCACTTGCTCCTTCAGCCTCACCTCGAGCCCAGTTTGGGTGTCTTCTCCATGGGAGCTGCTAAGGAAGCTCCGTCCCCCATCTTTCTGACTGACCAGCCCCTTCCCCCTGGGGGAGCCGAGGTCCCCCTGCTCAGAAAGCTGTGAAGGAGTGGTGGGTTCCTGGGCCTCTTGTAACCCAGCTGAATATTTTCCAGGTTATCTAACCAAACTCCTGCAAAACCACACCGCCTATGCCTGTGATGGGGACCATTTGAATCTACAGTGCCCTCGGCATTCTACGATAAGTGTCCAATCGGCATTTTATGGGCAAGATTACCAAATGTGTAGTGCCCAGCAGCCTGCCTCCCAGAGGGAAGACAGCGTAGCCTGTGTGGCACCCACCACATTGCAGGTACCACCCTTCATAGATGCTTTAAGATGATAAAGTGGTTCTCATGCTCCCTCCCTCCCTCCCTCCCGCTCTCCCTCTCCCCATCTCTCTCTCTCTCTGTATATGTGCTTGTGATTACACAGTTCACTTAAAGCAAACCTGATCCATGAAAACCCCAGTTCGTACAAATCACCAATTTCACGGGTGAGCTATTATTTGCTTCTCAAAAGGATTCTTCACCACACAAGTCTAAGTGGAATTCCTACTTCCTGGAGAGTTCCCATAAAACACTTGCAATATGAATTTATCCAGAGGCACACTCCTCACTGTAGTAAAGCCAAGTACAGTCACGTTGGGCTTTGACCTCCAGGACCACCCCTCCTGTCAATACCCCAGCAGAGAGGGAAGAGTGGGTATGCTTTAGTGGAAATGACAAGGTCTCTGTGAGGCCAACAGCCAAGGTCATGATCAGCTTCTCAGAGAATGCACTGGAGGAAGGGAAACCTCAGTCACAGGTGTTCTTAAAAAATGGTTTGCAGGGCGCCTGAGTGGCTCAGTCCTTGGGCGTCTGCCTTCGGCTCGGGTCATGGTCCCGGGGTCCTGGGATCGAGCCCCGCATCGGGCTCCCCACTTGGCGGGAAGCCTGCTTCTCCCTCTCCCACCCCCCCTGCTTGTGTTCTCTCTCTCACTGTCTCTCTCTGTGTGTCAAATAAATAAGTAAAATCTTTAAAAAAAAAATAAAAAATAAAATAAATAAATAAAAGATGGTGTGCTTCTCCAGTTGTGAATGATGACATTATTCTAGTTTGGAGCTACTTTGGGCAGCCTCTGCTGATTTGTTCTTCTATTGGACAGTACCAGGAATTTGTGGAGGGTGGCTAAGTCTGTCTTTCTTTCTTTCTTTCTTCTTCTTTCTTTCTTTCTTTCTTTCTTTTTCTTTCTTTTTTTTAAATTGGCATTAGGGAAAGATTTGGTATAGGAGGAGGTCAGAGCTAATATTTCAATGGGGATTTTAGACTACTCCTGGCTCTTTGATTTTTTTCAGCCACAGGAAATGTGGGTAAAGATAAATTTATGAGGAAGACTAAGGAGTGATGGGATTAGCATAAGGTTGTATAGCTCTCCCAGAGGCCCAAAGAGGAGAAGCACAAATAATATAACTTAAGGATTTTCCTATTTCTCACACCATTTGTTGCTTCCATCCCAAGCATTGTAGTATCTGTGTAGTCATGTGATTGGTAAAGATACCTGCTGAGTAGCCAAAGGAATATGTTTGAGTGCATTCCCTGGATGTGGATTCCACATCCTGAGGAGAGGCCACATGTTTCTTCTTGCGTGCCCCCCACCCCATTCCTGCCCCTTGGCTGCCCCTGCAGGAGCCGTATTCCTGTTGGCCTGCCCCCAGTCCTCACCCCAACTTCCCTGCCCACCCATCCCTGGTACCCAGGCCGTCTGTTGCTGTCCTGGGTGCATAAAAGGAACATTGGCCGGTGCCAATAGGACGGGAGTGCTTGCTTTGCGAAAGGATGAACCCTGGCAGCTCCAAAGCCTGGGCAGCACCCTCATCCTCCAACATGGGTGCCTGGCTCTGCCAGGCAGGCCCAAGGGAAGAGGATGTTTCCATAGCCAAGCAGACAAGTTAGCATTTGTGAACACAGCTCTGAAGTTGCGTGGAAGGTTTGTTTGCCAGAAGCATCCCTGTGCGCTACTCTTTCATCCAGAGATCAAGAGAGCTTTTATTCCGTGTCTTTTGACTGGCCTTGGGGACCGTGGCAATGGGCTTCCTCTACCTCAGAGTGAAGGTGCCCAACGCGGGAGAGAACAGGCGTTGCAGTCCACCCAGGAGCCCCTCAGCTGATCTGGCCCGTGGCTGAGTGTCACCAGGAAGTCCCCCCTCCCCTGTGCATTTTTCAGCCGTGACACTGTTTGGAAACAGCCCTGCCTTGAGTCTCACTCTGTGGTTGTAATACGTACGTGGAGCCACCCAAGGGCTGAGTCATTTCACGATGACCCTCGGCCACGAGAATGTGTTCCATCATCTGTGTGTGTGTGTGTGGGGGGTGGGGGGTGGTCCTCAGGGTTTCCCTGGGCATGTTTCCTGATTTCATACACATCTGCTGGGCCCCTGAGGGGATAGCTAGTAGGGCCAGCCTCCTCCATGGACATACGCCATGAGCCACTATAGGAGCACGGCAACTCAGGCTCGGGAATCTGCGCTAAATTCAGTCCAGTACATTCTTAGGAAATGTCCACTGGACTTGGGGTCCTTTTAACAGCCACAGATTGTTAGGCTTCTGTGACTGTCATGGGCAGGGTTTGCGCCATTTGGGAAGCAGAAGAGCAGAAGCGAGGCGCTAGGCCCCGCTGGGACCCCATGTAGGGGTTGGTTAAGCGTCCGCCTTCTGCTTGGGTCATGATCCCAGGGTCCTGGGATCGAGTCCCGCATCGGGCTCCCTGCTCAGTGCAGAGCCTGCTTCTCCCTCTCCCTCTGCAATTCCCTCTGCAATTCCTTCTGCTTGTGCTCTCTGGCTCTATCTCTCTGCCAAATAAATAAATGAAGTCTTAAAAAAAAAAGTAGCTTTGTGAAAACAAAGAAGCAAAAAAACAAAACAAAACAGAACAGAACAAAAACCGAAGGGGCGAACTGCCCAGAAAAAAATTGAGAGCAAGAGACATTTGAAGGAACACGTGTAAGCCAAATGCTCAACAGCAAAGCCTGAGCATTCCATGAAGAAAATTGCTCCAAAGGGAACCAGTGGGTCCTGTGTCCTGGAGGTTGGCGAAGGTGGGAATCAGCTTCTGAACTTTTATCGGTTGGCCTGTGTTCGGGTTGCGTCTCCAAGGCCTCCCCCAAATGCTGAGCTCTCTGTGGTCGGTGCCTGGCCATTTCCGAGGCTGGAGAGATATGGCTGTGATCCCTGATCCCCACAGCGCTGTCCCAGCCCTCCCAGAAGGGAACTCCGAGGCCCGTCTCGCCCACGCTCTGAGTTTCTCGGATCTTGCTTATATTTCCTGGAGCCTCCCCCACATGGCACTTTTGCCAAAACCATCGGCAGCACTTCCAGCTAAGGCCGACTGGAGGCTGGTCTTCGGGTGGGGGTCTGCCACTGTTGGGTCAGGTGTCCTGTTCTGGGAAAGACAGGGAGGCAGGGAGCCGACCTGATCTCGCCTTAGACGCAGCTGGTGGCCGCTCGAAGGTTCTTTGTGCAGACCCCAGGCCGGACAGACAGGTGTCTCTCCCTTCTCGGAGCCCAGAGCCGCCTGGGTGTGGGGTCTCCCAGACGCTGCATGTGGTTTTCAAGTCTATCCCTTTTCTACCCCCTCATTTTAGAAGGTGCTGGATGAATGCCAGAACCAGCGGGACTGCCACCTCCTGGTCAATAGCCGTGTTTTTGGACCTGACCTTTGCCCAGGAAGCAGTAAATACCTCCTGGTCTCCTTTAAATGCCAGCCTAGTAAGTAATGTCTGAGGGGGACAGCGTGTTTGGGGTGCTGGGGTGGAGATTCTCTGCCAGTTGGTATTTGTCCCACTTAGAAACTTGTTAATGGAGATGTCCTACCCGTTTTTGTAATTGTGGGTATTTGGGTGAAATTTGTGTGCATTTGTGTGTGTGTGTGTGTACACCCGTACATCCGTGTGCTTTCTTACAAATCCCTGAATTTAAAAAGTCCTTCCTAATATGTAAACCTCAGTTGTACCCATGCTAAAGGTATCAGGGGTGGCAAGAGGATGCAATTGCTTTTCCCCCAAACGAGGAGCCAGTTCTCCTTTTCAGAGGAAGCCCACCCTGGTTCCAGATATTTATGAACTCGCCTCTTCTGCTTTCACCAAAGCAGGGGCTCTGTACCCAGTGTCTCTTCCTGGACAAAGAAAGCAGAAGGGTTTCTGGCTGGAGCAACCTCTTCTACTCTGATTCTTGCATTTCTCTCCATTGACTTGTGTCACCTGTAATGCACATTAGTTTTGTGATTAACCCACTGCAGGCCAAAAGGAACTGCTTTTTAGCGAGTAGGTCACCCTTACAGGCGTGGCGGGTCAGCCCGAGAGAAGCCATAGGTAACGGCAACATTAGAGGCTCCTGGTAATCCTTGAAAAAACTTGTTGAAAAGAAAGCAGAGTTATAGCAACAACATTTAACCAAAGGATTATATCGAAGGAATAATCATTTGAAAAAATTCTGCATTGCCATCCCAACACATCGTTTTTGTTTTTTTGCATTTTGTTCTCTGTTGGTTTCTGCCTCTGGAGCCCAGCATCTTCCCAAGACCCTGGCAGCCTGGGTGCCGGGGGCGGGTGAGGCTTTGGGTCGGTCACACGTGTGTCGTGCATGGTCTCAAGTGTGCACTTGAAGAGAAAGCACGGATCCTTTCAGCAAATATCTAGCCTTCCGTCTTAAACCCTTTCCTTGCTGGGGCCTGGATACCTCAGAACTGCCCCTCTGCCTCTTCCCCCAGCCTGTGTGTTCAAACACACATTCACACTCACACGCACATACACACCTTCACACGCTTACAACGTACGCACGGTCACTCGTACATACACAATGGCATGCCTGTGTGTGCTACTACATGCAGACCCACTGTCACACACATACTCACACGTGCACGTGATCACAAACACCCACAAGTGGGCCCGAACTTGACACCCCAGCCAGGCCCTCCCCAGGAATTCTTGTCAGCTCCTGCCTCACTCGGGAACATCCCTTCCAGATCTCATGTTCTCAGTCATGTCCTTCCCATGGCAAAGTCTCAAAAACAGCCGTCCTCCTTCCGTGGTGGGAAAGACAACGCTTTTTTAAAGTGGCCCTTGTTCAAAACGTTAAGGATTGGAGAATCTGGGTGGTGGGAAATAAGCCCGTCACTTGTGATAATCTCCCACATTTTCTATACATCGGAAGTTTCTTGTAATAAAAAGTTGCGAAGGACCAGCCTCTAAGAGAAGGGAAAAGGCCCTCGTGAGATGGCGGAACCTCGAATCTAAGTCAGTGCCAGGCCACCAGCCTTACTCCTGCACCGAGCTATTAGGTCTGATCGCTAATTTCGTTGCAGCAAAACGCTTATTAGGCATCTCCTGTGCACAGGTGTTAGGCTAGCTGTTGGGTATGAAGAGAACTCCCATGTTCTGTGGAAGTTTCTCGGATCGTGGTTCCACCTGGCACCGCTCCCAACATTCCTTCATCCAGCAAGCACTTACTGACATCGTCACACAGCTGGTTCCTTCTTGTCCTTTAGGTTCTAACAAATATCACCTTTCTCCGGAAAGACCAGATCTGTCCAGAAAACATCTCAGCGGGAGCCCTGCTCTCTTGGTACTGTGCAGGTCGCTCTGGGAGGAACTGACCCTGGCAGGGGTGCAGGGAAGGCATCCCTGTCAGGTGATGGTGGGGCTGAGGACTGCCGGATAGGGGGTGGGCGCAGGGGCACTCCGTACGGAAGCCTGTGGCCAGAGGGAGCAGGGGTTTCTGGGGAGCAAGCAAGAGCACCGGCCAGGGAGCTGGGGCAGGATCCCCGAGCCCTGATGGCCGAGGAAGGGGGTGGATTCTTTCTTTAAGCAGGGAGGGTGTGCAGCTGAGTTTCTAAAGTCCCCTCTGGCTGCCCTGTGTGGTAACAGATTAGGGGCGGAGCCTTTGTGCCTTAGTCTGTTCGAGCTATTATAACAAAATGTCATAAATTGGGAGGCTTATAATCAACAGAAGTTTATTTCTCATAGTTCTGGAGGCTGGGAAGACCAAGATCGGGGTGCTGGCAGATTTGGTGTCTGTCGAGGGCCCACTTCCTCACCGTTGGCTGTCTTTTTGCCATAACCACCTTGGCAGAAGGGACGAGGAATCTCTTTGGGGGTCTCGTTCATGAAGGGCACTCATCCCATGCCTGGGGGCTCCACCCTCATGACCCAAGCACCTTCCAAAAGCCCCACCCCTTAACACCATCCAGCTGGGTATTAGGATTTCAACTTGAGTTGAAGGGGGACACAGTTGTTCAGACCAGAGCACCTTGGGTAGTGTGGGCAAAGGTGACCTGAGGCAGTGCAGGTTAGGAGATGCTCCTGTCCCTGCTGTGAGGTGAAGGAGGAAGGGAGGGGCTCCCCCACCCTCCTGCCTCTTTTTCTGCAGCCCTCTCACCCCCGAGGCTCTCTGTCTCCGGTGCCAGCCTGAGTGTGACACTGACTGTCTGAAGGGGCACCCTGCTGCACCCAGGGGTGCGGGGATCCAGCCCTCATCCTGAGAGCCAACTATGCGCATCTCTTCCCGGCTCCGCCCGTGAGCAGTGAAGTCTGCCACCGCGGGAGCATTTACACCAGGGAGTTGGGCGAACGCTGCCAACCAGGGCTGGCTTGTTGGGTGGTCAGGGAGCTATTTTATAGGGAAACTTCCAGCGTCAGGTCTGTGATTCAACTGTCAAGTGAGGATAAGGCGCTTCCCGCACGGGGCTGTGGTAAAGTGTATAAGTACAGTGTTGTGTAGACTAAAGCTACAGTGCCTTTTGTAAGATGCTTAGCACAGGACTTGTCATGCAGGTGCCCTCAGTGACTGGTGGCCGTCGTTCCAGTAGGCAGATGAATGTCATCCTTGCTGAGGATATGAATGACTGAAAGGCAGTGAGACACCAGGTGTTGGGGGGCTGGGGTGAGGTCTGCCCAGGGTGCAGGCAATAACAGGACACCCTGTCCGTAGAGAATTAAAAAAAAAACACATTAAAAGTGACTAAATCTCTCTCTGCATGTTGATAATATCGCCATGCATGACCGTCGAAAGTAACATCCGTAATCATACATTCTCATCACGGCAGGTCACCCTCCGCACCCCGCTTAGAAGGGCCCCCTGCGGATATGCAGGTACATATCTCTGTCATTAAGGAGGACCACCTAGCCCCCGGCTTGGCAGTATTAGGAGGGAGACCTTGTTACTGTTGTCCTTGAGGAAGCGTCCTGGCTGTCCCTCTGCCCAGGCTTCTGTCACTCTCCCTGTCCACACCCACGGGGCTGTTGGCAACCCTTCTGGAAGGATCCCCCAGCCTTTTCTAATCTGAGACCATTGAGCACTCTCACCCAGCTCTAAAACAAATTCTCTTTCTCTACCCAAAGTAGCAATCTGTTAGTGGTCCCGTTGTTTTTAGGACCCAGAAGTGTCACTCTTAGGTGACAGTGAATTAGCACATTCCCAAGGAACCAAGTGACTCAACATCACACAGTGGTACCCCCAAGCATGTAATGTGACACAGGCCCCTCCAGGGGGGCCAATTATCTCCTGGATGATTGGCCCATATTCTGGGGACAGGATCACCGGAGGCCTTAGAGTACAGGTGTTGTGTTACTCTGGGTGAGTTTGGCCAGCATCGAGCCCTCCTTTAATGAATGGGCCTTAGTACATCAGAGAGGTGGTGGCTAATAAATGCACTTCATGACAGGCCTTAAAAAGTCTCTTCTAATTTTTAAAAAATTCTGATGAAAGAAAGAAAAAGAAAGAGAAAGGAAGAAAAAGAGAAAAGAAAGAAAGAAAGAAAAGAAAAGAAAAAGAAAGAAAGAAAAAAGAAGAAAGAAAGAAAGAAAGAAAGAAAGAAAGAAAGAAAGAAAGAAAGAAAGAAAGAGAAGGAAGAAAGCAAGCAAGCAAACCGGCCAATCCTGTTAGAAAAGCTTCCAGTTTGCTAGATAAGGCTTGGTTTTCATCCTTTTTGGTGAGCTCTGCCACTGGAAGGCATTCTTCACATTCTTCAGTATTCTCCCAGTTGGAAGGGGGCTTGGGCTCTTTTGGTGTGTCTACCCGCACCCTCTGTTCTGCATCAAAGGCCATCTTTCATTCTGAGCCTTTGAAGTAAGGCAATATTTTGGTGTTGGTGGGATTTAGCGTTTACTCATAAAAGGCATTGAAAACCTCATCCCAGTGCGGATGTGACTCACCAAAATCAAACCCTCCAATGTCAGGGTCAGACTCAGTGTTCTATTTGTTTAGCAAAAGAAAACAAAGCTTTTCTTGGCTTTAGGTTTAAACTGTTGTATTAAGATTCCAGTGAACGGGTGAAGGGCATTCTAAACATTGCTTAGTCACCACTTAAATTTTCCCTCCTCTGTTGGTTCCTGGTGTGTTAGGATACTTGGCGGGGCTGGGGCGGGGGGGTCGGCGGGGATTCTGTGAGCATCTGTAACCCGGTTTCTGCTTCACACCTTTCATTCACCTTGAGCGTTCCCATCATCATGGATTAAAGAACAGTGCTAAGGTTTATCAGCACCAGGGCTGATGGTATCTTGAGATCCTGAATTTCCAATCTCAATCTGAATTGAGATTTCCTCACTGCTGCTTCTCTGTTTGGTGTAGAAGGGCACGGGAATTCACAAGTTACAGAAAAAGGTGGAATTTATATTTGAAAATCATTTTCTTTCGTGTTTTAAGTTTGGGGCTTCAGCATCAGTGATTCCAGGATATGCAAGTCCCATGGCCACTGTTGCCCTAGTATTTACCACTCACGCCTTCCTGGAAGGCTTCAGTGGGGGGCTTTCAAACTGGTTTGATTACAATGCAGAGGATGGAAAACATTTTACATTTTGACCCAGCATAACACACACACAACTGAAAATATTTTTTGAAAGTATAAAATAGTGTTAATCCTTTTTTTGCGTGATACGCTTTGATGCCTTCTAAACTCTTCTTTGTTTTTTTAAATTGCAGGTCACAAATGACTAAGCTGATTTCGTGAATAGAATAGAATAGAATAGAATAGAAGAGAATAGGCCTCAAATCACAGTTTAATAAACTTTAGCTTGAGATGTATGAGGGATCTAGGAATGGCCTGCACCTTCAATCCAAAAACATGAGTGAATCAGAGAAATGAAAGTGGGGGTTGGGGAGTGGTCATGGGGGGGTACTCATGGTGGATGGTCTTTGCGGGGTGGTCATGGTAGTGGTCATGGGGGTAGTCATAGGAGGGGTGGTCATGGGAGGGGTGGCCATGGGGGGTGGTCATGGGGAGGGGTCATGGGCGATGGTCATGGGGGTGGTCATGGAAAATGGTCATGGGGGTAGTCATGGGGGTAGTCATGGGGGATGGTCGTGGGGGATGGTCATGGGGGATTGTCTTTGGGGGATGGTCATGGTAGTGGTCATGGGGAGTGGTCATGAGGGATGGTCATGGGGAATGGCCATAGGAGGGGTAGTAATGGGAGGGGTAGTCATGGGGGAGTGGATATCGGGGGGGCTAGTTTTCCTTCTTCTTGACACATTCTTCCCCATCCCAGGCAGTCCATGATAGCCTGAGTAGCTCCTGTAATTTAGCTCCTGTTGGCTTGTTTGGCTGCAAAATGTTCCCGTTTGCTCTGCAGTTGCCATTTCAAAGTAGAAAAATCTAGTACAGGGGTGATACAGTGATTTTTTTTTTCCTTACAAAATGTTGGGGAGGTGGGGAAAGGAGAACCACACATGCAAATAAATGACCATAGTCTCCTTTGTGTTTTGCTTTGCTTTGATTTTTGCAAAGTTTAAGATAAGTGGCAGGCTAGAAGAAGATATTCTTAACGCATATTAGAGGAAAGTTAGCATCCAGAATATATGAATCACTGCTACAGTGTCTAAAAATCCAAAACACAACACGCCAAGGATATGAAGAGGGGTTCCCAAGAGGGCTGTTTTGAGGATTAAATTTACTGATACATTTAAAGATCTTAGAACAGGGCTTAATCAGAGGATGAGCTCAATAAATATTAGCATTTATAATTTTTGAAATGTCTTTATTGAAGTATAATTTACATAGCATAAATTTCACCCATTGTAAGTGCGCCATTCAATGATTTTCAGTAAATGTGCTGAGTCATGCCACCATCACCACCGTCCAGCTACAGAACATTTCCATCATCTCAAAAATGTCCTGTGTCCATTTCTTGTCATTTCCCTTTGTTCCCAAACCTCAGCCCCAACGGAGCCACTCACCTACACTCTGTGTCTATGTGTTTGCCTTTCCTGGAGATCTCAACAGAATAGAATCATATGATATGTGATCCTTTGTGTTTGGAGTGTTAACGATTATTACTTTTAAAAATCAAATTGTTATGAAACATCTTTATTAATTGAATACTTTTCCCAGTACATTCTTTAAAAAAAAAAAACCCAATCAGCTATATTTTCATCAGCAGTGCATTTACAATGTCAACGCTGTGTGACACTGTAAAAGGAAATGTTGCTATGGTAGGCGGATTAAACCGACACACAAACCTTTCCCTAAGTTCCTTGGGTACAAACCATGACCTGGTGCGGGTGGTCGTAAGGTAGCACACCACAGCAGCCGAGCGTCTGTTGCTCCTGAATCACCAGACTGGGGGCAGGTTCTTCATACTTCTCTAAAGAGGGACTCTTCACAAGACATGTGCCCTGTTTTTTTTCCCTTTCCTAGCCAAGGAAATCATTTGCTTTTACATCATCTCTCTTTTTATATATGTAAATGGGGGCGCTAGAACGTTAGGAAATCTGGTGGTAAGGTTTAATTGGAATCTCTCCAGAAGTTTAATCTACAATCAGGTAATTCTTGATCTTTACCTGTGTGGGTCCAAGTCAACATTTGAGGAAAGGCTCCCTTGAATTAAGGAATGTGTGACCTCAAGTGGAGAGAGAGAGAGAACCATCCATTATGTCCAGGCCCATCCCCAAACCCAGCCCAGCGAGCCCTGCCTTCCGCTGTACCTGGCCCCTGTCTCCTTCACCTGCCCCTTACTGTCATTCCCCCCTCTTCCTGCAGAGGGCTTTTATTCCAGGGTCAGACCCCATGGCTGGTGGGGCTGTTCCCACTGTCCTTCTCAGGGCACAGCTCCAGGGGGGCGATGAGTGGCCAGGGCTTGGGCAGGGCTCCCCGATTCCTCCTGAGGGAAGCTGATGGTGCCGCTGATTTTTGTTTCTGCTTCAGATGAATTAAAAAACAAAACCGTGTGTGAAGACCAAGAGCTGAAACTGCACTGCCACCCTTCAAAGTTTCTCAACATCTACTCGGCAAGCTACGGCAGGAGGACCCAGGAGAGGGACATCTGCTCCTCAGAAGCAGAGCGGCTTCCCCCCTTTGGTACGTGGTTTCATGTGGCTCTCGTTTGGTGCCGAGGGCATTGGGGCTCTGGCTTCCCACACAGGGGACAGTACCTGGATTAGAGGGAAAGTCAAGGGCAGGGAAGAAGCACCCATAGGGTGCTGCCTCCTTCTGCCCCACATTCCCAAATCTGTCCATTGTTTAGTCATTTCACAACAAGTAGTTACTGAACACCGACTGTATGCAGGGCCTTGTTCTAGGCAGAAGGGAGTCATCAGTGACCATACGGGGTCTATATGGAACTGACCTTCCAGTAATGCACAAAGGAGTAGTGAGACAACAAACAAACAGAAAGAGCTCATGTGTCATATTTCAGGTGCACACAAGTGCTAAGGGGGAAAGCACACTTCAGGAGGGAGATGGGGAGGCTGGGGTGTCTGCAGAGAGGCACAGCCTTATGGGGTCACCGGCATGCTGAGCAGAGACTTGAAGGAGAAGATCCCAGGTAGAAAGAAGAGCCTGGACCCTAACCAGTTGTTTAGGGTCAAGGGGAGCTCAGAGAGTCATTCTTCTTAGGGTTCTGTAGTCTAGAGCTGACAGATGATGGCCAGGATGTGGGGCTGAAAGCTCCACCCATCAAAGTCACGGTGTTATGATTAGTCAGGGTTCTCCAGAGAAACAGAACCAACAGGACATACATACCTATATTTGGAAAGAGAGATTGATGTTAAGGAATTGGCTCACACCGTGGTGGTGCCTGGCAGATCTGAAAACTGCAGGGTGGGTTGGGAGTCTGGGAACTCAGGTAAGAGTTGGTGTTTCATCTTGAGTCCGAATTCTGCAGGATAGTGGGCTGGAAACAGGCAGATTTTCTATGCTGCAGCCTGGAGGAAAATTCCTTTTTCAGAAAACCTGTCTTTGCCCTCCAGGCCTTCAACTGATTGGTTGAGGCCCACCCCCATCAGGAAGGGTAATCTGCTTTACTCAGAGTCCACTTTGAATGTTAAATGTTAGTCCTATCTTTAAAATATCTTCACAACCACATCTAGCCTGGTGTTTGACCAAACAATGGGGCACCATAGCCTAGCTGAGTTGAGACATAAAATTAACCATCATACACCCCAGTCTGCAGTGGGAAAGCAGGCTGATCTCTACCCTCTATATTACCTGAGAGAACAGGCCCCACGGGGAGACAGCCCAGAGAGTTGCACTTGATTCATCAAAATCTAAAATGAGCTCCACAGTGTATTAAATTGCTACAATCACATGTGAAATTAAACATAATTTTAAAAAGAAATTTATACAAAACCAGTATCTTGGATCTGAAAAAAAAAGAAAGAAAGAACGACCGCCCAGGCAAGCTCTCAGGCGAGACTGGAGAGAGAACGAAGAGCAGTTCACAAAGAACACGTGCCCCCAAGGTCCCCAGTCCAGTGTTCTGGGAAGGAAGGTCCTTCGGTGGCAGATGGCAGAGGGTCTCTTAAGGGCAGTCCTGGCAGCCCACAGAGACAGGCTGAAGTGGGCGTTTGGATTAGCTGCCCTGGATTAGACCTGGGGCAGAGGACTCCCATTTAACGGGCTGGGCTGCCAAATGGGGCAGTGAGGTCCTTGTGGGCGTGGCTTCCCATTGTATGTGTATGTCTCGGCCCCACCCTCAGCCGCATGCCCCGGTGAGTGACCTGGGAGTTCTTGACACTCCGGTCACTCTCGCATGTAACCCCTGCCTAAGTTCAGAACATCTCCACCCCCTCCTGCCTTGGTCCCACTACTGCATGAGCTCCAGGGACCACTGCCTGGTCATTGCAGTCTTCCTACTCCCCGGCTTGTCCCCCCCACCCCCCCCCGGGTGTCCAGAGGCAATCTTCTAAAAGGCCAGTGTGATCCCTGTTCTTCTGAACATCCTGCAGGGACTCCCCCTATGATCTGGTCTCCTCAGCTGGGTAAGGGGCCCTTGGTGATCTGACCTATTTCTGCAAAAAGGGACTCTCCTTCTTGATATTGGGGTGGGGCACCCCATTTCTCAGGCTTGCGAAATCCAACCTAGCCACATGTGTTTGGGGAGGCAGCACTAAGTCCCATCTGTTTCAGCCATTGTTTTGAGCAGAAGAAGTCCATCAGCCAAGCAGGCAGATCTGTACCCAGGTCGCGTGGGTTACGGGCTGTGGGTCACACTGCCTTAGGTTCTTGGGAAGTTGGATGGGAGTTGGGTTGAAAGGGAAACGTAATCAGCCAAAGAAAATGTTAGCAGACATCGTGGCTAAGGGACAGGTTTCCATAGAGACTTCGAGGACTGCTTCGGTCACCCAGCTGTGCTCATGCCATGAATAGCCCTCGCTGACGCGGGAAAGGTCTCTGAATAGAAGACCATGCCCCTTGCTTAGTGGTTCAGTTGGAAAAGTTTGAGCCCCAGCAAAGTCACCTAGCAGAAACAACCTGCTCGTCCTGCCCCGTCCCCTTGTACCCCTCATGGTCAAGGGCTTCTGTCCCTCACCCGTTGACTACACGTGAGGTTGAAGAGCAGGCTGTTCACTGCGTTCAGGAACCACTGCCAAACACAGGAGAGCGTCCGGCCCTGAGCTCTGCAGGGGGGAGAGGCTCGCAGGGAGGAGGAGAGGCCCTTGGGAGGGCTCCTCATCCTCAGCTCATCCTCAGCTCATCCTCAGCTCATCCCCAGCCTCGCGTGGAGGCCTGGACTGTGTCTGCCTTCCAGGTCAGCGTCAAGAGCAGACCCTTGCGCGCGCGTACAGACCGTTGGCTAGCCCTGCTGACGTACTTTCCCTATCGCGCTGAATGCTAAGAAACCATTTCCTCCTTGGCTGCTGTATGTGAAGATTTTAAACTGCACTGGGCATGTTCCCCCCAGCAAACCGTGCTTTTATCCCTCTTGTATAAACATGCTTTAATATTACCACCATTAGAAAGCACCCCTTTTGACCAGCCACCTCCCCCTGACTCGGTCCGCAAGCCCTTGGGCTCTTGAACACTGAGCATCTCTCATCAGCAGCTCTCCTCCCCACTTCTGGGCATCTCTCACCTGGACCCTCCGGACCACCTCCTGACTGGCCTCTGGACCTTCCTTCTCCCTAATTCCCTCCCTCAGTCTCTTCATCACTTAGCAGCCAGAGAGAGGTTATTAAAATAAATCAGATCACAGCACATGCCCTCCACCCCTTAAAGCCCTGCCCTTTGCCCACTGTAATTAGGATCAATCCATTCTCCCAGCCATGGGTCTTCCCTCCCTTCCCTTACAAACTGTAGGGCACTGCGTACTCATTCATAGCCTGGGGCCTTTGCACAAGCTCTTCCTTTGGCCTGGAATGTTCTCACCCCATAATTCAGGAATCAAATCAGATGTCCTTCTCGGGCAGGTTTCCTGGGGCTCCCTGCCAGCATGGAACCTCGTCTCTGCAGTCCCAAGCGGCCCCCCTGCTTGAGTGTCTTCATTTCATCACTTACCTGTCTAGGGCCTGTTTCCCCAGAGGAGGGTAAGCACCGTAGAGACGGTGTCTGTCTGCTTTCCGCAGAATTCCCAGCAACTCGAGCAGTGCCTGGCACAGAGTGGTGTCCACGTGAATCTCGACGTGCAGGAATGAATCAGAGCCCCTCCTAAGGGAGGTGCCCACACAGGGCTCCTGCAGGTGGATGGCTGCCAGCCCCGAATGCGGGCCTGGTGTCGTCACGGCTTCCAACCCCTCATGAGATGCTGGAAATCCGGATTCATTTTTTTTTTTTTTTAATGTGAAATGTTCCAACTTTTAAAACAGTGTGTGAGCCAAACAAAACATGCCCACAGGCCACATCCGGTCCCCGGGGTTCCAGGATGACCTCTGCTCTAAGTTACTGGAGCTCAGCAACAATCGCTTTGAAGACGGGAAAAAGGCTATTTATTCTCAACCCTGGGACCTGACATGAGCTTGGCAGGATGACTGTCTAGGGCCGGGTGGTCAGGCCTCACTGCGGCCTCTGGAAGGTGATGTGCGTACCTTTCCTCCTGGGGATAAGCTGCCGTCTGGTGGAACCGAATATGCTCCAGCCTCGGTGCCTCCCTGGGAACACGCATGGTGAAGGCCAGCTGGACCTCAGTGAGGTCAGGAAACACTGCGGAGTGTGACTTTAGCGCTCAAATACGGAGGGAGGGCATTTCCAATTCTTTCCGAAAGATGACTAGGAGGGTCCCTGTTAGTGTCCTGCACCAGCACCCTAAATACATTTAAGGGAAATAAGAAAACAGTTCAGCCATAAATGTTACCCATCAAATGAGAAGCTTTTTTCTTTTCAGGGTCTCTTCCAAGTCCTGGTATCTGAGCATAGAACAGTTTTTACAAAATGGCAATTCTAAAACAGATACAGTTGATTGTGCTTTGAAATGTAACTTTATATCCTGGGTGTTCTTCCACGTGGCCAACAAAATCCTAACAATGCCAGTCATTTCTTCATATCTTGTTGAAGGGCTATAGTATATCATTTAATTAACCATGTCCTAATGGCTGGGGTATTTCACCGCTTCTGATTTTCAAATATTCTAAGTGAGGTATAATGAACTTACGCCTGTAGCTTTTTCTTTCCTCTGGGTTGTTTCCTTGGGATAAATTCCCAGAAGTTTTATACTGAAAGAGGGCATGGGCATATTTACAATTCTTTATATGTATCCCCAGAGTTCTTTCCAAAAACTTCTTGTACCAATTTATGTGTGTAAACAGCGACGTATGCCTCTGGGTTTCCTTGCAGCTCTGGCAGAAGTATGTATGATTTTTCTTTGTGATTCCAATTTAATAGGTATAAAATGGTCCTCTTATTTGCCTTTCTTTGAATATTAATGACTTTGAACATTTCCCATGTTTTTGTGGTTCTTGTATTTGCACTTGCGCCCACTGTCTCTCTAGCCTTTGTCCTTTTTCCCCCCCTTGTGGGACCCTTATTTTTTTTTCATAAATTTTTACATGACAGAGTAGAGATGTTAATCCTTGACGTGCTTTTTCTGCTGCCAGTCTCCCACCCCACAGTATATTTTTTTCTGGACTTACGGTTTGGGTTTGTTA